GCCGTGCCCACCCTGCAGCGGGGGGGGCGGCGACGCCTCTTGGGGACCCCCCCAAGACCCGCGCCCCCTCCTCGCCCACCTCGTAGGTGCTGGTGAGCCCCAGGCGGTAGAAGACGGGCAGGAAGAGCTGCGCCGTGAGCGCGCTGTTGATGAGCTGCGCCCCGCACATCCAGAGGAATTTGGCCCCGTAGCGGAAAGCCTCGGCCGGCACCCCCAAAACCTGGACGGCCGACATGAAACTGGCGGACAGCGAGAGCCCCACGGGCAGCGCCGACATCCTCCGGCCGCCCGTGAAAAAATCCTCCGAGGTTTTCTGGCCGCCTTTGGCCAGCCCGTGGAAGAGCCCGATGGCCGTGGAGATGAGCAGCATCAGCGCGAACACCCCGTAATCCCACGGGCTGAAGGTGAGGTCCCGCGCCTCGCGGGGTCCCTGCATGGTGGCTTCGAGAACCCCCCCAAAACCGGGCACCTGCGGAGGGCGGGGGTTTGGAGAGGGGTTAACCCGAGGGAGGGAAAATTCCTTGGAGCGGGAGCGCCGAGGGGAAAGCAGGAGAGGGGAGCGGGGTTTTTGTGCCCCACCCCGGGCCCTCTGCGCCCTTCCCAGGCAGGGGCCGTGCCAGGGGGTGCGAAAGGGCAGAGTCCCACGAGGAACAGCCAGAATTTGGCCGGGGGATTACCCCGATCCCTCCCCGCTGCGGGGAAGCTTCGGCACCCTCAGGGACACGGAGGGAGGGGAAGGAGGGGAGGGGGGAAGCAGCGACCCCTCCCCAAAGCAGCACAAGCAAGGAGGGGCAGAGCCTCCGGCGGAGCCAAATTTATCTCCAGCCGAGGGGAAAGAACAACAAAGCTCGTGGAAACCTCTCCGCAGGAGGAGCAGAGCGGGACGGACCGGCTGGACCGAGCCCGGCGGGGGCTGCCCGGGGGTCCCCGCGAGGGCTCCTCGGGGGGGTTTTGGGGGGCCGGCAGTGCCTGGAGCCGCTGCGGAGGGGGGCTCGGGGGTCTCGGGGAGGGAACCTCGGTGGGGTGGCCGGAGCTGTGGGCGGCCGCGGCCGTAACCCCTTCGGTGCCGCGGAGCTCCCGGCCCCGGCGCTGGCCCCCTCCAGGGGCCACGGGGGATGTGTCCCCTCCCAGGTGGCACTGCAGGGTCACTGTCCCCTACACAGCATCACCACAAGGGCACTGTCACCTCCTCAGTGACCAGAGAGGTCACTGTCCCCTCCAGGTCACCTCCATGGGGTCACCGTCCCCTCCGAGATGTCACCACGGAGGCCCCCTCCCCTCTGAGCTACCACCGCGAGGTCCCCGTCCCCGGAGTGCCCAGAGGGGTACCGGGGGTACCGGGGGTGCTCAGAGGGGTACCGGGGGTGCTCAGAGGGGTACCGGGGGTGCCCAGAGTGGTACCGGGGGTGCTCAGAGGGGTACCGGGGGTACCGGGGGTGCTCAGAGGGGTACCGGGGGTGCCCAGAGGGGTACCGGGGGTGCTCAGAGGGGTACCGGGGATGCCCAGAGTGGTACCGGGGGTGCTCAGAGGGGTACCGGGGATGCCCAGAGTGGTACCAGGGATGCCAAGAGTGGTACCGGGGGTGCCCAGATGGGTACGGGGGGTGCCAGAGTGGTACCGGGGGTGCCCAGAGGGGTTCCGGGGGTACCGGGGGTGCTCAGAGGGGTACCGAGGATGCCGAGAGTGGTACCGGGGGTGCCCAGATGGGTACGGGGGGTGCCAGAGGGATGCCAGAGGTGCTCAGAGGGGTACCGGGGGTGCCCAGAGGGGTACCGGGGGTGCCCAGCTGTTCAGCCCTTCACCCTCCCAACACCCCGGTGGCTGCACCTTGGGGTGTCGCGTTCTGTCCCCCCTCCCCTGCCAGGAAGCCGCACGCCCAGGAGGCCTCGGGCAGGAAGGAAGTCACCCGGGGGATTTTTTTTATCTCTCTTTCCTTCGCTCGCAGCCACCTACGCACCCCCAGAACCCCGACTTGGAGCGCAGCACTCCCGGGACCCCCTCCCCAGGCCTGCAAAGAGACCCCCGGCACGGCAGAGGTACCGGGGGGGCTCTGGGGGTGACGGGATGGAGCTGGGAATGGAGTCCGGGATAGAGCCGGGATGGAGCTGGGATGGAGCTGGGATAGAGCCGGGATGGAGCCGGGATGGAGCCGGGGATGGAGCCGGGATGGAGCTGGGATGGAGCTGGGATAGAGCCGGGATGGGGCGGGGATGGAGCCCGGGATAGAGCCCGGGATGGAGCCGGGATGGAACCGGGATGGAGCTGGGAATGGAGCCCGGGATAGAGCCCGGGATGGAACCCGGGATGGAGCCGGGATGGAACCGGGATGGAACCGGGATGGAACCGGGATTGGAGCCGGGATGGAACTGGGGATGGAGCCCGGGATAGAGCCCGGGATGGAGCTGGGATGGAGCCGGGGATGGAGCCGGGATTGGAGCCGGGATTGGAGCCGTGGATGGAGCCCGGGATGGAGCCGGGGATGGAGCCGGGATGGAGGTGGGAATGGAGTCCGGGATGGAGCCCGGGATGGAGCCGGGATGGAGCCCGGGATGGAGGTGGGAATGGAGTCCGGGATGGAGCCCGGGATGGAGCCGGGATGGAACCGGGGATGGAGCCGGGATTGGAGCCGAGTCCTCCCTCCTCACACCGTGACAGGCTGGGAGAGCGGGGAGGGATATCCAACCGCGTGCCTCAGTTTCCCTTTCCTCCTCCGCTGCGGGGTTTGGCCGCGGGGGGGACGATGAGGAAAAGGCAGGAGCGGGACCAGGGCGTCACTGCGAGCCCTCCTCTCCTTGCAGCTCCCTCCATGGCCCCGCTGGGCGAGCAGACGCCGCTGATCGGGGCCCGCTCCTGCAGCCTCTCCTCGGGCGAGAGCGGAGCCCTGCAGGTGCTCCTGTACCACCGGCTCGGCCCCAGCCGCGGGCCCGGCTCGCTCAGCTTCACCTGCGGCCGCTACACGGCCGAGGAGCTCTGCGTGAGCGCTGCCAAAGCCTGCGGTCAGCAACGGGGGATGCGGCTCGGGGGTCCTGGGGGCCGGAGTGGGGGGTCCTGGATGTGGGAATGGAGTTTTGGATGTGGGGATGGGGTGTCCTGGATGTAGGAATGGGGTCCTGGGTGCGGGAATGGGGTGCTGGATGTGGGAACGGGGGGTTCTGAGTGCGGGAATGGGGTTCTGGGTGTGTGGATGTGGGGTTCTGGGTGCGAGAACCTGGTCCTGGATGTGGGAATGGGGTTCTGGGGGCAGGAATGCGGTCCTGGGG